CACTAATTACCTCACCGGAAATTAATTTGTTGTTTTAACTGTATACTTGTCATATCGATTAAAAGCAGTCTGCTGATCCTACAAACAGCAAAGGAAGGCCGCAAAGCCTTCACCTATCGCCTGTGCGACTTACTTGTCTATCTAAACTTGTATGTATGGAGGATGTTCTTATTATGAGTTTGCCCGTGAACGCAAATTTATCCGATACTGTTTAAGCCAAAATCCACCCCTAAATCTTCTTTTAAAAGCTCCAATTAAAAGCATTCCGCTGAACCTACAAACAGCAAAGGAAAGCAGCAAAGGAACTCCCAGAGTGCATTTCGCTTCCACAGGGGGATTAAAAGTGCGTGACATAAGCGCACGGACATAAGCGCGACAAACTATGCGAAATCACTATCCAAAGGAATGCATGGATGCCAGCATAAAGCGATGACGTCACACAATACGTCATCGCTTAAAAAATTGAAACTTGAATCAGTGTGCATATTAACAATGGAAAGATGAAATGTAGCTGGTTTGAATGGCCATATAAACAGGGTAAAATTGTAAAGGATTAAACAGGGTGGGATTTCAGAATGTAGTTATAAGGTGACTGTGTTAACGAGAGGTTACTGATGTACACCAATTTGACTGGTGTGGATTCATTGAAAAAAAGTCGCATTTTGCCTTCAACTAGCGATTGGCAGCATAAGCACAAACACAAGTATCCATGCAAACAGTGTAAAATGCTACTACAAACACAAGGTTAATTCTGGTTATGTATGAATGTTTGTGTCGTATGTGATACCAAACTTAAAAATATGCCAAGTGGTTTGTTTTGTTTTTAAAGGTTGACGGGAAAGAGGTTCATTTGAATACGAGCAATATCAAATATTTCCTGGAACTTAATCAAGTGGGCCTTGTAGAGGATGCGCCTCAATTGTGGGCACATTCTGATCCAGTCTCCAGGAAGAACACTCCACTCACTGATACTAAGGTACCTTATAAACAGTAAAAAAGTATTATTTTCTAACTGCTGCGAATACCGTCCAAATAACAGTACAAATATACAGCGATATTGTAGTTATTTGTACAGTAGAAACCTGTTTGCCATACAGGTCGGCGCGCCCACACAAAACTGTCACACCCTTGCTCTTTCACTGATAAATTTATTGACTACAGCTGTTGGATAATAAATCTCTTATTAGATGTTTTGTTGTGTAGTATCGCTTTTTAGTATTCAAAAGTCAGTTGTATACCGAGTGGTAACAAATTGATAAAAACGATGTTATCCTCACATGTGAAGATATCCTGTGTGATAACATTTCTGTTTTGTATCTTTAACTACACTTGAATTTGTTGGTGTATGATTGAAACATCCTCGGATCTTCGGTTGTCTTCGGCAATCTTCGGAAAATGTTCGGAAATGTTCGGAAAATGCTCGGAAACGTTCGTCTGGCCTTCGGAACAATTTTTGAAAATCTTTGGAAATCTTCGGAAAATCGTCAAAAATGGCGCATCAGCATGTCTATATAATAAAAAGAACATTACGCGTTAGCTCGGAGATAGGAATTTTATGTTCTCGTGGCAAAAACGATATGTCACTCGTGAGATATAGTTCTTGCCACTCGAACATAAAATTCATATCTTCTCGCCACCGTGTAATATCCTCTATATATTTTTAATCGTTGTTTGTATTTTGACTTGCCCTACGGGCTCGTCAAAATACGGCACAACTTGTAAAAATATACAGCGATGCTACACACCAAAACATCAAATAAGATATATATACTTAACTGCTTAGAGGCAGCAGATCATTATTTTTGTATTTCCACTCTTGCGGCAAGTATGATCAATGGAAGTCTTCCATGTAGACATGTCAAATACTTGTGAAATGTTCGTGGCTAGTCTAACGTGGAAGAGGGAGGCGCGGTGGCCTCATGGTTAGTGCGCTCGTCTCCGGATCGAGTGGTCCGGGTTCGAGCCCTGGCCGGGGACATTGTGTTGTGTTCTTGGG